CAGATTGAGGAAAGTGTGAGGCAGGCTTCGGACAGCCACGCTCGCAGACCGAGCTGCAGACAGGCCCTCGTAGATGAGAGAAGACCGACAGCTGGCAACCAGAGAGGCTCAACCTAAACCCTAAACCTTTGCCCTTAGCGCCCCCTAGTTCAGAATAGGTTTTGAAGGGCAGAGGTGATTTCGGGAGGATTGGGTCCAATGTGTCTTACTATTAGGGGTGTGTTTAATAAAAGCAGCGATAATATATACATATATAAATATAAATATACAGATATAGATATAGATATAGATATAGATATAGATATAGAGGTGTGTGCATCATAGAGAAAGTTGTGCCCTGCTTGGAATCAGCACCTGACCCTGTCAGGATCCCAGCAGAATCCATGTGGCGATTTGAGAGAACGAAGGTCGACATCTTGTATCAACTGAAAGCCTGACGGGACACGTGCGACAAAGGTGCTTGGAATCTACTTGCATGTGGTGAGATTATCGCCAGAACTATTGCGTCATGCTGTAGCCGATGGTGAGCCATTGCCACTCTGAGTCTACCGGTGCCGCATAGAGAGGCATGCAAGGCGGCCTCAACTGGCCAACTAACTGCTTTTCCACCAGCACTTCCGATTTCTCCGAAGTCCAATAAGAGCAGTTCAGATTGGAAGTGTCTTGGCATCTCTGGGCACCCCAAGCTTAACACACCATGTCTGTTCAGTTCAAGGACTGGTCCTTGAAGGTCAGACTGTGCTGTAGAGGCGACGGTGAACGCTCGAAGGTTCATTTTCAAATCCTGAAGCACGACTCCGTCGACCAACTTGTCCTATTGGCTACAAGGCTATACTAATCATCTACTATGATGACCTTCAAGGCAGCCATCAACACCACAGAGATGCAACCACCCAGCAGTCGTACGCCGACCAGCATCAAATTCAGATGCGACTTAATTTGGCGAATGCCATAGGTGCACAGAATTAAAACATCACGCTCGCACTGTGAATGTTGTTTCGGGATTCGGACGCAGAACAACAGCTGTTCTGCAGCCTGGTAAGGAAGATATGTTTGAGCCGGAGCTCCCCCTCACAATGCTTCGATCTTGCATCCCAGTCCGCATAACTTAGAGGTACGCAGATTCCAGAAACTGAAAACAACAAGTCACTTTCAAATTCGACCATCGTCAGAGTCGTCTCAGAAAGCACCATCCTGTTTGCCACAAGTGAATGCTCCAGTTCTGGACGAATTCGGAAAACAATCGCAAACAACAGCGAATGCCTGCGATGAAAGTTGATGCATGCCACAAGGAGCTACATGCAACCAACTTTGTGCTTCCGATTCTGCTGCTGACCACAAAGCCCTACCCAGTTCAACCAAGCAGCACTTTCGCAAAAGCTCATCCCTCGCCACTAAAAGCCGCTTTGGCAAACAAACATAGATGTCACCTGCAGTTGCAGCTGGAATCCCTTCAAGACGCGATCGGACCCACACCCACCAACAACCAGGTCCTGAGGTTCTTCCCCCTCGGGCATCTCAGGCAGCATCGGGGTCATGCCTGGGGACCGGAGAAGTGTTTTTGGCGGGAGTCATGGGCCATCAGCGGGTGCCATTTGGCGCTTCAGGCGAATATACTTCCGGCGTAGGGTTTCGACACTTATAGCATTTCTCAACCCATATTTGCTTCAACCTAGCTCTGGACAGTGCTGAGGTCGACGATGTTAGCGTTAACAACTTCCGACCCGACAACGAAGCCAAAGGTTGCCTTCTACGACAAAGCATCGACATCAGGAACAGCAGACCATCTTCTTTACACCTCCGTACTACAATGCAGAGGCAGATTTCTGGCATGAGGCCGAAGCTGAGTCTCTAGCTGCGCCTTTGATATGCTGCGGCCCCGGCTTTTACCTTGCAGCATCCCATAGAGCTGGTAACGGGTCTTGTACTCGGGATGGTCCAGCGAGATCGACCTGGGAGCTTCGGAAAACAGTAACAACTGACCCTAAAACAAGCAAGAACTCGGAAACACAGATGCTGGAGATCAAAGGTCGGGCCTCCTTAGGCGGCTGGGGCCCCTTTAAATGGTGCTGGGGGCTGTGGGCCTCTACGTCACCACGTGTCATGGATGCCATGATGACTGAAGCTTCATGTGACACTAGTAGCCTGAGAGCCATGAATACGGGCCTCGAAACGAAAAAATGTGTCAGGCTCCCAAAACGCCAAAACCTGCCGGGACCCTTTAAGTCACAAGCGTCGTGACACGACAGCAGTGCCGTAAGTTCTCCATGACCTGAGAGCCCAGTGTAGCATGCAGACCCTATACTGTAACTCGACGAGCTTACGGGCATGATTCGTAGAAGATCGAAGACATTCACACATCTCTCTCGGTGCTGGCACGCATGTTTCCCCGGTTCATTCTTGTCCAGCGTGACAGGATTACTGTAAAACCCTGGATTGGGCCATTGAGTTTTCACTTCAACGTTGGGTCTGCTTCGTTTCCGGCCATAGATTCATGACCACTGTCGAAGGCGTTGTCGCGCGCAAATTACTGGTAAATCAGTCCCTTCGGTCCGAAGAGCTTGGAATTTGGCAGGGGTGTTGTGGCTTCTGGCTTCAGTCTGGCTTCGGGAGTCTGGGTTCCGCGTCTCTCATGAACCGTGCTGCCGGAACTGGACATGTGAGTCATGTCGAAGGCGTCCTAAGAGTGGATCTGGCATCTCCTCCCACATCCTCAAGCCTGGGGTCAAGCAAACTGTAAATAGGTTCCCTGGACTCTTCCCGTAAATAGCACTGCGTGACTCAGGGGTCACCAAGTCAAGCCATGTTCGAGTTTCTAACAGTAACGGAGCCAAGAAATCCCCAATTTAAAGCTCTAGACCAGGAGAAGGCCCAAGGCGAGCTGTCTGTCGGGCAGGTGCTGGTGGCCACGATGGAACGCCTGAGACGAAGACGGCAGTTCCGTCACAATTTGCAGCGACAGTGGTTGGGAAGGGAAGCCCACTGCACAAATTCTGATAGGATTTCATGCACTTACATTTAGTTCAATGATAAATTGCAGAGTTCCTTGCATCACGGCTGAATGTTGCCCACAGACCACTTGGCTGTCATCGAAGCCATGGGGTCTTCAACCCCTGAGTTTTCGAACGGACTCTGGAGCGTTCAGGAGCGTGTCCCGAACCGGTTCCGAAGAGTGCGAGGAGCGGGTTACAGTTCAGGTGTGGGTTCCGGGGCGGATTTCGGAGCAGGTTTCGGAGCGTTGCGGAGCGGGTTCGCGGTTGGCTCTCCCTCCTCAATCGCCCTACGCCTTTGGCCTAGGGGCCCTAGTTCCTTTTGGGCGAATTTTTGTCCTTTTATTTCGAGCGGTGTGCTCCTTTTTACAATTGCTCTGGTCCCTTTGTAGTCCCTGTGAAGCCTCTTCTTTTCAGCTTCTCAAACATTCAGGTCCTTTTCTAACGGTTTGCGTTTGCTCCTTTCGCTCACATGCTCGAATGCCTTTCGTGCGGTTTGCTCCTTCTTCTGAAGATGCCCTGGTCTTTGTCGATCCGCTTGTGTCTGTTTTCTCAACTGCGCAAATCCGCTTCGAGCGATTTGCTCCAGGCTCAAATGCTTTAACCCCGTTCGAGCGGCGTAATGTTTCTTTTCATATAATCTCGTCCCTTTTGAACGACTTGTCGGTTTGCTCGGGCATTCGTTTCGCGTAGGAACAAAAGCCGTCGGTTTGGATTGAACTATATTGAATTGTACAACTAAACTAAGACAGCTTACATAGAGGCAATATACAATAGTATAATATAATACTGCAAACCTTCATATGCTGTAGAAAATCTTACTACATTGTATCATTGTATCAGTATCAACACTATGTGTTTTCTACTGTTCTCAGGTGCACGGCTATTTACTACTATTGCAGAACGGTCGTTTGAACAGCTTTCGGGGCTGCGGTTTGGATTGTGCGAATGATCCTTCAAGGTGGGCACAATTCTTGCACCCCGCCTCGGCTTTGGATCCCTCCTCTTCAGGATCCGACGCCGTCAGAACTCCCATCAAATTGTCTCCTAGCCCACACGTCCTATACAATCGCGGCATGGAGTGAACATTCTAACAGCTGAGCCTCGTAAGTGGGCACAGCCAAGCAAATGAAACCTTTGGCCTTTCGAAGTAGCTACGGCAACCGCTTCAGGATGCCTTCGGCTCCGGAGTCCGGACTCCGGAGGTTCTCGAACCTTTGTGCTAGGGCGCTCTGTTCTCAGCCCTCACTTCCTTCACAGCCCTTTCTCAAGGCATCTCTCATGAAGCACCTCCTCAAGATGCTTGCAGCGCTCCACGTACTCCTCTATGAAGCCTCTCTTCCTTGCCTGGCCCCACTCGGAATGGGATGTTGGCATGTGTGGTTGCTGTGCTGGTGGGTCTCGGCTTCTTGTAGAAGTTCGTTTCCACGGCCACATCAACCGCAGCTTTTTTTCTGGAAAACCTTTGCCAACCATCACTTAAGGGCCTTGTAGAAGACGAAGGGGAGCCAAGCCACCATGATCCATGCTGCGAGTCTGCGAGTCCCACTGCTGCTGTAGCCAAGCACTGCGCCATGAAGTCGTCCTTCGATCTCTACCATGACAGGCGTGACCACAGCCAAGCCCAAGCCCCGCGTGTGTCCTTCCACACTGACAACCTGCGTCATCAGCACCAGGACTGGGACTAGGGCTTTGATCTTGGACATGTCGACACCATGGGGGCCCATCTCCTTGCTTGCTTTTGCAGGGCTCTCTTCTGCACCGCTGCGTCTCTGTCCTCTGCTCCATAGGGCTCCATTTGCGGTGTGACAGCTCCCATCAGGAAAAGGAATTCCTTGATTCGTGCTCCACACCTAGTGGTCTTGTACCTAAGTCCGATGAGTTGTCAACCCTGGGGATAATGCCAACCTCCAGCTCCTTCGATTGAACAATGGCTTGGACCCAAAGCAAGCCGGCGTGTAGGTTCCGTATCCTTCTGCAACCAAGCCTGTTGCAGACTCCTCGGCATGCTGCCCTGTCCGAGCGACTTCTCATCTTCACCGTCGTGCAATCGCCAATAAACTCATGGCCTCGCATGTGCCGCTGACCAAGCTCCGCCTCGCCACTGCTCAAGCTGATTGAGCGTTGTGTTCTGACCATTGTTCCAACCAAAGTCCCTGACACATAGAGCTTGATTGAAGATCTGCTCCTCCTGTCCTTGCGGCAGCCTGCCCAGTCCGAGTCCGTGATGCTTTCGATGATCAGGGTGCCTCCTTTCACCAGGCCACCTTTCCCAGCATGACCAAAGCATGCTTCATCACGGGCACCCCGAATCACAAACCCAATCTCGGGGGCGCTGGCCAAATAACTGAATACACGCCGCAGAGCACGCATATTGGGAATTGCACGTCTGGTCTGGTATGCGAAAGAGAGGAGCTCACCGAGTGGCACCATCTTCGCCTTGAGCCGCCTGCCATTGACTATCTCGGAAGGTGGGGCTCCTCTGGAACCTGTTGAACAGAAAACTGGCATGGCGCATGAGCCGGTGCCGGTCGATAACGGCTCCAATCCGGGCCTCCTAGTAGGACTTCAAGGTGAGCGCGTTGGTGCGCACAACATCCACAGCATTCTCTGCCATTCCGTTGGCGCCAAGTGTTCCGTGACACGCTTCAAGAAGTGGCACCATTTTGGGCGATTGGTATTGCCACCGTCGACCCAACTCGGAGCCGACCAGTGTCAAGCCGTGCTGGTTCTGGTAATCGTCCTCGGCTTTTTCCTTCTCTTCTTGTTGCTCCTGCTCTTGTTCGCCGTCGGGATGCTCGGCACCAACCTGCTGCTTCTCCTCCTTCTGGACCTCGTGCTTTTGATTTGTAAAGGTGTCGGCATAGTCGATCTAGATGGTTGTTGTTGCCCGGGTTTGCTCTTTCACTTCTTGGCTCTGGCCCTTCTCGGCGCTCTTGCGCGGGCTTTGCTTGCTTCGTCCCACAACACAAGCCTCACACCAGCTTTTATTTAGGGTGGTGCATTATGTTGTGCAGCTCCTGCTGGTGAGTCGAGGTTGGGATCTTTGGCACGTCGGGTGGCCTCTCGCCGTCCATGTACATCTTCTTCGCCAGCTCCGCACTGAGCTAGCTGCCTGCTGAGCACCTCGTGGTGCTCAGCCGCTTGAGCACTTAGCTTTTCCCACCTGAGTGAGAGAGCCCGAGCTTGTCGCATAGCTCCTTCAGGACCGCAAGCGGCGTTTGCACATGCAGCCTCACACCCTCGAGCTCGTTATCGCCATGGGGTTCCGAGCCACTTGGGCTCTGCTACCATTCAAAACGGTCTCTTGAACAGCTTTCAGGGCTGCGGTTTGGATAGTGCGAATGATCCTTCAAGGTGGGCACAAGTCTTGCAACTATTGTTACGACCAGTACGGCCACGACTATTATTTTCGTACTCTAGTTATTGTTGATGCTTTCATACTATTTCCCCCCCTGCCTTTCAACAAAAACAACCCCCAACCTCCCCCACCCTTTCTAAACCCTACGCCCACAACCTCCAACCCACGCACCCCCGTAGGCTCCCACCCCCCCCACCGCCGTTCCAACGGAAACACCACAAAGAAAGTCCAACAACATGCGAGGAACCTGAGAATACTGCTGGAAAGGGATTAGAGGCTTGGAGAAAGGTGCAAACCGATCGAAAGGGAATAGAGCAATTGGAGAAACAGTAGCAAACCACTCCACACGCAATGGAGCGGTTGAGCAAAAACACACGTTGCTCGAAGCAGACTAAAGAGCATGGGAGAAACCTCAAAAAGCCGCTCTAAAAGGACTAGAGCGCAGTTGAGAAGAAGGAACAGCCTCTCAAAGCGGACTAGAGCATGCGAGAAAAAGGAGCAATCACCTCGAAACACACTATAATAAAATTTGAGGACAAGCAGCAAGTCGTGCGAAAAGATCTAGAGTGATTAGAGCAATTGAAACAAACGGAGAAAACCATCCGAAAGGGACTAGAGCATTTGGGGAAAAGGGAGCATTAATTTCAACAAATCATTTGGGGAGACCCAGCAAACTGCACGAAAGGGTCAGAACTTCTCGGAGATGGAACCAACAGCTCGAAAGTGTAGCGGGCCTCTTAGCAAAAGGACGCTTCGAGTGGTTTGCTCCTGTCCTCAAATGCCTGCAGCCCCGTTCGAGGTGCGTGCGATTCAGAAAAAGGAGCAAACGGGTGCATAACTGGAGAGTCTCGCTCAGTCTCTCAGTTTGTTCCTTATCTCAAGGATCGGAAACTCCTTTTTCTCAAAATGTTCTAATCGTTGCAAGTGGTGTGCTCCTGTTTCTGAAATTTTCTGTTCCATTTCGAGTGGTGCCTCCTGTCCTGTTTCTCCAAAGATCATCCTCAAAACCCCACAGTTCCTTTCGAGCGATTTGCTCCTTTTTGTCAAATGCTCTAGTCAACTCTAGTCCCCTTCGAGTAGGTTCCTGAGCGGATTCGGGTAGAATTTCTAAGACCTGCGCAGATATTACCCGACTGCTGTCATGTAAACTTGCATGACGATTTGTTACCCATCTGCATGCCTCAACCGCACCATGTTGCTTTAAACCCGAAACTCTAGACTTGATATCGTCCTGGAGTTGCGATCCGCAACTTTGCATCAGCTGTTGGGGCTTTGGTGGGTTTGTTGCGGATTCCATGCTTTCGGACAAGTTGGCAGAGCTGTGCTACGTAATGGTAGAAACCTTGCTTCGCGGAAACGCGGTCAGGAGGGAGGTGGTTTGAGCTTTCGGGTTTGGTAACCCAGCCCGATTCTACGGAGCCGCGCCTGGGTGGAGTTACGCTCCAGGGGCGGTCGCTTCCGCGTGGGCACCTGTACGGTGACCTGGCGTGCGAACAACTGCAAAGGAGCCAAGTTAAAGACAAGAAACCATGTTGGTTGATACAGCTCACGGCCTATTTCGCTCCGCAGGCCGTACTGCTACTGGCGAAGGTGCTCATGGGAGAAACTGGTGCTTATGGGATTTGGATGCTGAGCGTGTCCATTACCTGAAAGGAACTGCCTTGTCGCATCAGCTAGAAGCAGGAGTCGTAGCAGATGGAGTGCCGTTCCTAGTACTGGTGCGTCGTCGTCGTCGTAGTTGGTGCTGTAGTGGTTGGAGTGGGAGTAGGAGTAGGGATAAGAGCAAAAGCAGCAGCATCGGCCAGTGCATGCCACTGTCGCATATGGCATTGCGAGAACAGGATCAGGCATTGATGGAGCAGACAACATGGCCAGTCTTGAATCCATGCAATCCCATGCTCGCGTCCAGGATCCCTCCCAAACCTTTCAACACGTCCGATCAGCAATTCCCTGCATCATACACTTCGTACTGCTCCCCGGCCTGCTGTCCGATGTCGTAGCCCTCAGGAATGGCGACCGTCATTTCCTGGTCCTCTAGCAGACTCTAGCACTTTGCGAGGCCGAGCAAGTCAACCCCTTACAGAAGGCATCCTATCACAACGAACAAACAAGCTTTGACATTGCAAGGCTGCCAGACCTGATGTTATAGCAATCTTACATCAGGATGTGCGGGTCACCTTGAGGTCATCGCAGGCTATGTCGTGGGAGTTGAGACCGACGTGCAAGTCAGGCAGTCGCTCATTTCCGGCTTCATGGCACCCGCATATCCTCTCTTAAAACACCTGCACAACCTTACATCCTCAAAGTTTCTGAAGTTTATGGGATCTGTTTGAACTTTCGCCTTAACTATGGGAAATGAATGGCCCAGGCTTCAGTACCAATCCGCCAAGGCCACAGGCCTCGGGCGTCTTCGGGGTTTGACTGAAGCCCGAATACTTGGCGAATTTTGTCCTTGTTTGTTTGTTTTTGACTTTATTCCCCAGATAGCTTTAGCTATTAGGGGTTCTGAGGAAATAATAGACAAGAGGACGCGCATGTCCAACACCGCCGCAGGGTGCGCAGCCGGATGCAGTCGGCATGCATGTGGGGATTGACACTAGCTCTCTCTGCGTGTAGCAAAACGACGTGTGTTGCCTATCGCGCAAGGGCAAGCCTTTAAATACTCAGGGATCGCACTGTACCCGTATCCTTCCACTGAAGGGGGATATTGGGTCATCCCCACCTTCCCGCTCCTCCTTCCGCTCCTCCCCCCCTCCCCCCCTCCCTCCCTCCCTCCCTCCCTCCCTCACCCAACCAAACAAAGTGGGCTGTTTTTGAACATGCTGTTCGTGAAAATGACTCACGTACTGGTACTGCTTCTAACAAGTCAAACCCAAAGAGTTAAACACACAGACAAACACACAAGCAACATGAATCGGCCACTTCGTTGTCCAGTGACACCCGCTTTCGCTCACTCCCAGTGCCATTTTGGTGGGAGTGCTTCCTAAAAACAAGTGAAGCAGATGACGCTGTGGCATGGGGCTTCCGGCTGCATAGTACATGTCCATCTCAGACCGTCCTCGTAGATAAAGTTCACCTTGTCGGCCGCTTCAAACAAAAGACAGACCCCTTGCATGTGTGCTTGCTCGACGCAAAGGTTAGCAGCTGGCTCGTCTTGTGGCATCCATGCCCTCGGGAACGATCAGCGTCACTTGCCTGAAAAACTGTCAAGATCACGTCCATCAAGCATCCGATGCCCGTTCTCCCCGGCCATGCAGAGAGTGAAAGAGAACGAGTTAGAAAAAAGTGGGTTCAATGTCGCCCGATTTACGAACGCAGTGGATATGGAATGATTTCACTCCATTCACCGGCCACTTTCTAAAGTCGGAGGGCATAGGTTTGGACCTTGCTGTCCGTTGATAATCAAGTTGTCCTCGGTTTTCGCGATCATAGGCACAAGTCTCAGCCCCCCGAGTTCCACAGCAAAGGACACCCTCATCTCGGCACCTGTGAAGCTCTTGCTGTTCCAAGTGGTACAGGATCGTCTCGTGGCGCGGCATCCCCTGCGCCACTGGTGAATTTAAGCAACGATGCCTCAAACGTTATGAAAGCCACCCCGACCCGCTTTGGGCCACGGAGAGATAACATGTTACGCACTTAGCATCGCTGCTGGGCAGTCTAGGCCGGCGAGGAATTTGCAGCTTTGGTCCTACAGTGTATGCTGCTGTTGCCAATTGAGTGCTCAGTACTGTACGTTCGGGGATTTTTATTCAGATTTCCTCTCTGCTCGGTGACTTGTTGCTTGAACTCCGACTGGTAATCCATTCATGTTGGCACCTCCTGTCCAGGTAGGGGCGCCACGTTGTCGAAGGACTCGCTGATGTCGTCTGGATGCAACGCGTGCAACGGGAAGCCCCTTCCCTGGAAAACATGCAAAGATCCGTCGCCGCATTTCCTTATACAATTGATATAGCACAAGAGGGGTCTGGGGAGATGGCTGCTCGACGAGGTGTTGGTCGCAGTCTCCTGCAGGAATCCGATCTAGCAGCACCGGCAGTCGACCAAGCACTCAATGTCACAAGACTTTGCCGTGTTCATTGTAGTTGCGGATACCATTTTGAGAGTCGCAGCGCGTTCAAGCGTGTTGGTGGTGTGGTGTGGCTAGGAAGGAGAAAGTACAAAAATCACATCCCGGATCAGACCGGCGCCCTTACAACAGTGACTCAAACCCGTTATGGACATGGACATGTGCCAATTACATGTTTGCACTGTCATTCCCCAACACTCCATATAGGAATAGAATCGGTCCAAAGACAGAGAACCTCGCAATCTACAGCCGGTGCCGCCGCTGCCTCATCAATGTCACCAGCATCGGCCTGCTCCGTCCCTGCCGGTACTTTGGAAGGACTGAAACACAGCTTTCTGCACGGCCTCAGTCTTCGTTCTGTAGATAGCTGCTGCAGACTGGCAGCAGTAGCAGGAGCCGGAGCAGTCGTCGTAGTTCCAGTGGCAGCCGAATCCGAGCTAGCACTACTGTAACTTGGCACCGGTATTAGCGCTAGTGCCAGTACTTGTACCTGTACAAATATTAGCACAAGTACGTACTAATACTGTAGGTACTTGTAGTACTTGCAGTACCGTAGTTGTCAGTAGTTCTCGTCGCCGTCTTCGCATCTCAACATTATGTGGCCGTTGAAAACCGTGGCAGAAAACCGTCCAAAAAGTCGAATTGCAGCTAGTCTCAGACTGTGGCTGTTGAGAATCTCTTGAGATGATCAGTGGCCAGCACGAGGTTCGACGAGGTCAGCGCTCAGTGCGGGGGACAAGATAGTTCAAGTCTTGTCGTCTTCGCGGTAGCAAGCCTCAGTTCGACTTGGCTTATGGGGGGGCAGCCAACCGCACCAGGTCGACGTGGATTTCGTAGAGGCTCGGCTCGACCATGCTCGACCAGAGTACAACAGAGACTTGGTTCTGATAAACTGCAGCCACATCCAACTGCTCCATGCAACTGTTTGAAACCGCTGCGGGATTTCCAGAACAAGCTCTGGTGCTGGTTCGACTACAATGACGACAAAAGCTCGGCGCAGTTTCGCGAGGTTACCTGGTTGTGCCAGGCCTGCATCTGTGGCCCGCTGCTTGCATTCCGTCTTAGTGCTTGCTGCAGGTTTTTCCTCGTGTCGTGGTGGGAAAATACAGTCAGTTTGGACAGCACCTGGATTAGGGATAGACTCTGCCCTCGCCATAGCTATGCATCTTGAGAGATCAGCGCCACAGATCTGGGAGCTCTTGTCTGCCAAACTCCCGTCTGTAAACATCGACCGTGACAGCTGTGTCTACTTCATCCACCTCCAAGCTCTGTGGAGACGAGCGCCTCCTGTCAAGGTCAAAGATGTCTTGTCGGACTAGTGACACTCGGCCGTGGTCCTACATGTAACGTGAGCGTGGGTGCAATCTGTCTTGGGGGGGGTCCAAATCCCAATGCACCACTAGAGATGGCGATGGACAGCAGCAGCCTTGGCATGTGAAAAGTGCATCGTGAGCATTCAAGTCGACAGGAACTCGCCAGTTGGGTACAGTAAACTATGGCGAGTCAGCTTGTGTTTAGACCGCGCCAGGGACCAGTGCTGAACAATCATTTTATGTCAATTTTATGTCACAGAAAACATGCACCGCAGGCTCAAGCTGCTCAACATGCCCCGGAGCCCAAATCCTTGACCACAACTGCAAAGCCGACCTTGAGCAGTTATTTGGCCTGGAGACCTGACACCGCAGCCTTCAACTCTTCTGTCGACGTACCAGAGTGCCTCGTCTTTCTTCCTCTCGTCCGAGCAACGGAGCTCTGGCCGCATCCAGTTTGGCACGGCAAAGCGAGGGGAGTCCTGCTGGAAGCCGACGGGCTGGATGAAAGGTGCTTAGATGTGCTTGGCATCATGTAGCATATTGCCGTAGCATCCTCAGCCTCGTCGCCGCCCTCATCTTGGTCACCACCAACGCCACAACCATCATCGTCATCGTGATCGTGATCGTCATCATCATCATCAACAACATCATCACCATCATCAACACCATCGTCATCATCATCATCAACAACAACATCATCACCACCATCGTCATCATCGTCATCGTCACTATCATCATCATCATAATCACCACCATCACCGTCATCATCATCATCATCATCACCATCATCACCAACACCACCACCATCACCACCATCGTCATCATCATAATAATCATCACCATCATCATAATCATGATCATCATCGTCACCGCCACCATCGTCGTCGTCATCCTCATCATCATCGTCATCATCTCCTTCGTCATCATCATCATCATCATCATCAACAACATAATCATCACCACCATCGTCATCGTCATCGTCATCATCATCACCACCACCACCACCATCGTCATTACCATCATCATCATCATCATCATCTCCTTCGCCATCATTACCATCATCATCAACATCTCCAGCGTCATCTTCATTATCATCATCATCACGCGATGTTGGGTCATCATCATCATCATCATCATCCCTACCGCCGCGCTCCTGCACTTGGCTTCGTCGCCCTTCGGAGTCTCCAGTACTGTGTGAGTTCCTCGCAAGGGCAAGGGCACTGAGGAAGTTGTTCTCAAAGGGCACTTGCAGTGTGAAGAGTGAGAAAATGGAGAGCCTGTCAGGCCTGTGTTTCAAGTTAAAGCTTCTCGACACATCCGTTCCTGCCTGCCTTTGCGAAGCTACCGAGCCTGGAAGAATCCACTTCGCTGTGACACGCTGTTGTGTCTTCTTCGAAGACCTGACGCGCCATCATGCCATCAAAACCGTGGGGTCGCTCTGGCTGTGCTTCAGAAGAACACTTGTCACTGTCACGTCTGCGAAGCCGCATCAGCACTTCCTCGCTCAAACCGTAGTGAGTCGTCTAAGTGGCGTCTTATAGGCTTGAAGTCTCCAGTAGCCGGGCCTTGTCCGACGGCCTCCGAGGGCCTCGCCAGCTTGTCTCTGTGACTTAAGGCCGAGGCTGAGGATTCGGGTTGCACGTGGCGACAGGCGGCGACCGCTGGAGGACAGCAAAGGGCTGTGAAGGGCTACTGTGAAGTGTGAAGTTGGTTCGACCACTTTGCTGCCGCTTGGCACGGAGCGAGAAGCCGCGGGCTGCAGCTCACGCACAACACAGAAGGTCAAGTCGGCAAGGTGGAACTTTCTTGTGCGGTCTGCGCTGCTCAAGCGCAATCTGGTCCCTCGGCACTATGGCACCTTGGGGGGTGGAAGGTTTTCTTTGGGGATGTGCAGAGGTTCAAGAGTCCAGCGAATCGAAGTGAACCGCTCTCATGAAGGCGGAGCTCTGCAGGAGTTCAGTTTCGGAGCTGGGAGGTTCTCCGAGCCATCAGCGGCCGCACCCGCAATGTCTCGGCTCCAAGCTCTGTGTGTGGCTGTCTGCACGTGGTACGAAAGCCGGACTCGTCGAGTGCGGAGTCTGCATACAGTTCCGAAAGCACTCAACAAGTTGGAAATGCACTGTGCTGCAAGAAACGCTCCTATCCGACAATGCCCCCCCAGTGCAAGTGCGATTCTCGCATCCCTGAAGCCAGCTGCCTGCAATGCTCGCCGTCAAGCTTTGCCTCGGACCTCGATATGCACTGGAGACTTCAAGCCTTCATTTTGATCTACTGGCAGGGGTCAGCAGGGTACGCTCATCTCGTCCAGGCAGATCTTTCTTCGAAGTATCTGCGCTGTCTGGGATCAGGAGAAGCGAACAGGATGCCACGATGTCGAGACAATGTACAACAACATGACGATCGCGACTGTCGTAAAATACAAGTACTCTTTCTGCACTTAAGCGACTGGAAGTGCATGCTGCACGAAATAAGAAAAACTCAATGCCGCAAGACGTCGGGTCGGATGTGGTCTTCTTGGTTCAGAGGCGGCGCAGTGGCAGAGAATCTAAAGAGTGGTGCTGACAGCAAAGTCTTGTCATATTCCAGAGAACTTTCCGCGAAAATTAGCCGAACATGTCGAATCCGCGTGCCCGCGCAGTATTGCAAAGGCCAGGACTAGCGGGCGAGGAGGTGCTAGATGTTGATGCACACCTCAAAAGCCGGTCTCTGCACCGCAGTGGATCATACGACCGGCCACGTCCCATCTCACACCATGACATACCGGAGTTTCAGAAAATAAGGTAGTAAGAAGAACAATACCAACAAATATACCAACAATGCTTCTAAGAAAAAGAAGAGGAACCATGATAACAACAATAATCATGACAACAAGAAGAAAGCTTATAATGATAATATTACATAATACAGTAATGAGCATCATCATCATCATAGTCTTATAATCGAGCCCGTTTTTACAAATGACACAAAAAATCCCTAACGACCTGTTCGCGGCTCCCACAACGCCATTGTGGTACATCCCCCTTAGGCTGCCACCGCCCTTCTCGACTCTCTTGAGCGAAAACTGCGCCAAGGACGGGCTTGAAAGCACTCGACTTGAAATGACTTGACACGAGGCCTAAACAATAGGTTCCGGGCCCGTAAGCTTGAGAAACCACCTTGA